TGAATTGCTGGGTGGGTGATTCCAGGACAAGAGAGCAGGAGAGAGAGTGAGAGTGCAAACTTGGTATAATGCTTTTTATTTCTGGGTGGGAGGCGGCCTTCTGGCTGGTCCTGTCCCTTCCCTGACTTCACACACCCCAGCTCCTTTCATTCCTCCCCCTCAGTTTTGGTTGGAAAGATTATCTCTAGAGTTATATTTTCTATTAGATGTAAATATGTTATTTAAGAAAAAAATCTAAATATATATATTTCAACTCTTGAAGTTGTTTTATTTAAACAAGGAGAGAGAGACTCAGTGTGGTTTAGTTGGGGGAGACAGGCTAAGTTGGGGCAGGAGGGGCTGGACAGCCACCCAGGGCACTAGGGAGGATGGGGACCTGGGTACTGGGCCTGGGAGGGTGCCTGGAGGGACTCAGCTGCCCACCTCACCCCTCCTTCCTTTTCCTCCAGCCCGGGCAGACCCCTGAAACCAAGGCAGGACCCGGATTTTTTCTCTCTTCCTATTGGTTGGCCAGGCCAACAAAAGGTTGGCTCCCCAATCAGAAAGAAAGGGGGTGGGGTCAGTCAGTCTGTTTTTCTTTTCTTTTCTTTTCTTTTCTTTTCTTTTCTTTTCTTTTCTTTTCTTTTCTTTTCTTTTCTTTTCTTTTTCTTTTTTTTTCAGATTAAGAAATCTGTTGGGGGAAAACAAAGTATTAACTTGAATAACTTTTTTGTGTGTGAGGTTGAAGGTAAAAAGTTGCGGGTGGGTGGGGAGCAGTAGATTTACCCCAGGACCACACCGGGAAATGCACTTTACGGGAGATGTGTGTGTTGTGCACGCAGATCTGATCGTGTGTATGTCATGTGGACAAAGTCTCCCAGTTCCCTCGATTCCTTACTCCACAGAAAGAAAAGAAATCCAGCGGATCTGTTTACATTCCCGAAATGCCAGGATAAATTGGGAGGATTGCATGTCAGTGCCCAGAGTTCGAGACAGTTGTTGTTTTACAAGAAAAGTGTTTGGGGTAGACTTTTCCTTTTAGCGTCCTCTAGCTTCGCCAGAAGAGACGGTGGCCCCCACCTCCCAGGAAGAGTTGGACTAGCCTGCCTCCCTCCCTCGGGGAGGGCGGGCGCCAGCTCTCCAGCGGACCCATGGCCAGACAGGCCCACCCTGGGGGACCCACGGAGGGAGGCCCGGCCGGGAGTGGGGGCTTCGCACCCAGGCCCTGGCCATTGCCTGGCTAGGAGTGCAGTGGAGGGTCTGGGCTCGGGGCTCGGGGCTCGGGGCTCGGAGCAGGGCAGGACTCGCATCCCGGCGGCTTTAGCGGGGGTTAGGGGAAGGAGGGGCAAGGCGAGGTTTCTATCCAAGAGTGCGCATCAGAACTTTTTCTTTTTTCTTTTTTTTTCCTCCCTTCTTAAAAGCAAAAGCTATAATTTATAGGCCTTTTCGATTCGCGGAGTGTTCTCTATTTGAACTCGACATTCAAACTCCGCCAGAGGGGGAGGGAGGAGCGGGAGTTGGAGAAGAGACGGCCGGCGCGGCTGGGGAGGCCTTGCGCGGCGGCAGGTCCCTGGACACCCCCGCCCCGGCAGACTCGTGATCACGCTGCGCTCCAAGGACGCTGAACACGAGCCCCTCTTTTGACTCATAAGCACAAATCTGTCCCCCCTCAAACCCCGTCCCTTAGAGGACTGATCCTGCGGCCTCCCGTCCTCCCCCAACCTTAAAGGGCCAGTGAAGATCTAACTTCCCATTGCTTATTGAGGGAGGGGCGTGGGGGCCCTGAGCGCTGGGAGGAAGCACAGACTTGGGGTGAGAGGCGGGGAGCCGGGGCTTGGGGGGAGCTTCTCAGTGCGGGGGCGGGGGGGGAGGGGTACAGGGCGGGAGCCCCAGCCTGGTTCTCCGCACTCCCCCTATTCCCACCTCCCGCTTCTCAGCCTCTCTCTCCTCCAGACTTTCTTGCCTTTGAAATGAGGGGCTAAAAAAGAGGAAGATGGTGTACTACAAGGTTTAAAAATAAAAATCAAATTGCGCCTATGAAGAGAAGCCCCTGCAATGGGAATGGATTTTTATCTGCTCACATTTGTAAAACTGGTATTTTAGACTTTGTATAAAGAAGCGCCGTTGACCGAGTGTATCTATTTAAATATCGACGCTATTTTCAGATGAAACTTCATTGAAGGAACATGTCTGTTACGGTAACTCCGGGACACGTGTCTTTACCTGGCTGCCGCCTTCCCTCCCTCCCTTCGCCCCCTCTCCCTACCTCAGGGCTGACTATGACCCTTTCCTCCGACCTTCCCGGGTCAGCCTGGTTCTGCCCCACCGCCCCTCTGTCCTGCCGTCTGTCCGTGGCCGTGTGCGTGTCTCCTTCGCTCGCTCTTGCGACGTTGACCTGGGGGTGGGTGGGCAGGGCTGGGGACTCGTGGCTGGGAGTCTGCAACCGCGCGGAATGTGCGTGTGTTGGGTTTATTTAATTCTAAGATTTGTAGAAATCTCGAATCGATCTCCGCCTCAGCTCAAGAGTGAAGCTTCAGTACCTATCTTCTGCGGTTGTGAATGTCTGTATCCAATACTGCTTTTTACGTGTTAAATATATACTTTGTAAATAGAGACGTGTCTTGGGTTTTATTTCCTCCTCCCCCCGCCCCTGGAGAAGAGGGAAGAGGTGCCCTGGGAGGAGAGGTGGCTTGCTCAGTATCCATCCCATCCACTTCTCTGGTCCGCTGGTCCTGGGACGATTACAATCCCAGTAGGCCCTTCCCCAACTAGGGGTACTCAAACCCGGCAGGGGTAAGGGAGTAGTCTTGGGAGGGAGCGGAGTGTGACCCTCCCTAACCTCCCAAGGGAAGGTTGTGGTTTTCCTCACCTACCGACTGCACTTCTCTGGAGTCTGGGCAGAACTCGGGGACTCCGCGAGGTTGGGTGCGACCTCTGGGTTCCCCTTACTTCTGGCCCGACTCCCCGCCAGCGCACCCCACCTCCAGGCCTGATGTCCCGGTCCTGGACTCCCGGAGCCTCCCTGCCGCGCTCCCCAGGCGTTCCCTGACTGCTCCCTAGTGCTGTCATGGGACCCGCCCCCTAGAACCACCTAGCCTCGCCAGCGCTCCCCGAAATGCAGCGCCTCGCGCCTATTGATTGAAGAATTGAGTTCGCGGGTATTGCTAGGCAACTGGCTGCTCCGCCGGCTCAGAGCTAGCTGATGTGATTAGTGAACCCGAAGCTGCCGCGCCGAAGCCCCGCGCCCCCCTCCCCCGCCCACGGCCTCTCTGTCCCCGGTCTTCTTGGGGGCAGCACCTCCAGTGCTGGGCTAGGCACATTCCGGGGAGAGCAGAGCGCAGGGTCGGGTGGGGGCTTCTCAGATTTTCCTGGCCGCAGGCTTTTCAGCAGTGGGGCGGGGTCGTGAAGCCAGCACCAGAGAGCTACCCTGGGGACCCCAAAGAGGCCACCGCCCTGAGCTCAGTTCCACCCCTATATGCCCAGCAGACGTTGCCCCGCAGAAGAGCGCGGATCTAGGCGCACTGGCACAGCCGGAAGAGAGGGGCATCGGCAAGCACTGGCCCGTGCATCTCCTGCCCTTGGCCACTGAGTCAGTGACCCCGCATTTGTTGGAGCTCTCCCAGCCTCCTTCCCTGAGTCTGTGACCTGTGTGAGGTCCCGGGAGGGAAGGAGCAGCCCGGTGCCTGGGCTTGGGACGCAGTGGGTCACCCTTCGGAAGTGAGGGGCCGGGCAGGTGGGCAGTCAGAGGGTGGGGAGCAGAGTAGGGTACCCCTGCGAAGCGGCCAGGTGGCCAGCCTCCAAACTGTGACCGAGGTGGAGCGGCGGGACTCCCTGCCTCAAGGGTTTCCTGAGTGTCTGGTCAGGGAGTGGACTCTCGTTTATGGAGAGAGGAAGATGGGAGGCCGCCAGCTTTGCCCCCTTTCCCCGGTTGGCTGACCATGACCAGCCTCAGTTCTGACCAGGTGTTTCTTCTGAGGGTTTCAGTCCCTCGGGCGGATTCTCCGGGAAAGCGACCAGGTATGGAGGCTTTGGCCTGCGTGCCTCTGGCCGGGGCTGTTTCTCTGCGTCTTGAAGGCAGGGCCGGTTGGGGGGGCTGCCACCAGCGCGGAGCCTGGCTCAGCACACACTGGCTGAACTGGAGTCTTTATGGCTCTTCGGAGAGAGTCGAATCGGATCGATTTTTTTTTTTTGTCCCTTTGATGCTTACAGCGCAGGGATCCTAGGGGAGGCCCGTGCTGTGAACAAGAGGCCCGACGGCGAACAAGCCTGTCCTAGAACTCTGGGGACTCATTTTCTGATTTTCTCTTCTCACCCCAAAGTCCCCCAGGACCAGAAGGGGCCTGGAACCCGGCTGGAATTCGAGATGGGAGCAGCTCAGTGCTTGGCGGGCCTGGACACGAGGTAAGAGGCTGTGGCCTAGGGCCGCGGCTTCCTTCTTGACTTCGGAAATGGGGGGTGCTGGGGGCATCTCAGAGAGCTCTCGGGGTGTAGGTCGTGCAATTCTGTTCCTCAGGGCAGCTCAGAGCCCCGGTGGGGAATGTTCCCGGCGCGTCCAAAGCGCCAGTGGCCTGAACTTCGCGGGTCGCGCGCGCCCTCTAGAGGCGATGGTCTCAGCCTTTCTCCTTGGAGCCCAACCCCTCCCAGGCGGCGGTGCCTTTCAGGGTCCTGAAGGAGCATGGAGCTCCTCATCTCCCCCAGCCGAAAGTACGTTAGAGTGGGCCACCATGGGCGCCTCTCTGCACCCTCCCTGCGGCCAGGCCCTCCAGCCGCAAGGTGGTAGGCAGGAAGGAGGTGTCCAGCCGGCCGGATTCACATCCCGCAGCCTGGCGACACCCACCGCGCCAGGAGCCCTCGGGCTGGACGGGACGGCGCGGGGCTGAGCCCGCCCCGGGGAGGCCGCCGGCCGGCCCCTCGGGCCGGTT